TGCATTTTCTTTTTCATGTTTAAACGTAATAATCAAACTCCAAGTATGAGCTAGAATCTTTCTATAAATCATTGAATAATAAAGATTATTTTAGTATTTTTCATGTATTTTTTTCCAAAATCAAGCCACATTACTGAGCTTTTTAATATTCGTGTAGAGGTGAAAATAGACATATATTAAGGAATATTTAATGAAGAGAGAAAGAAAGCTAATAATTATGCAAATGTTGGGAGAAAATACACTTTAATAAACTATAATAATGCTCTTTCGCAATTTTCTCTCCCTCAAGCAGTGGCATGCGAGCAAAATTGAGAAGAAAAAAAGTAATAAATGCTTTTTTTTTTCGAAAAAAACCATTTCCGATTTATTCCGTTGGATTTCCACCCCCGCAGGAGGAAGCTATCAAAAAGGGTTTTTAGACAATATTATAGAGAGGGGAAAAATGGCCTTTGAGATGCTACATCTGGTGAAATACACCGTGTAATTATTAACCGTTGATGTGGTAAAATAACTTTCCACTAAGTGCATGTACACATGAGTGTATGTGAGATTGTGTGCAGATCAACGATTAATAATCGCTCGAGGTATTTCACCGAGTGCATAGTCAAACAAACCGGCAAATATACAAAGCACAAAGTGCAATTACCTATTTTTAAGAAAAAAAACATACCACCGACAACATATTTAATATTTCAACACGAAAGTTTCTCAGAAAAATAAAATAAAATAATAATAACAATAATTAATAGATGGTCAACTTTCAATATATTTTTAGTAAATGTAATTAATTATTTACCACTATATAGTATATATACTACTACTTTCGAATATTTATATTATTCAGACAAAATAAATAGGCCAAGTTTGGAAGTGTGTCCACTATTTGACCAGCGGATACTGTTGTTTTCGAGAGTACACGAGTGTGTGTTATTGTGTGTTTTTTCTATTCATTTTATATTATCCAAAATATATCTCTCCCCACTTGTATTCCCTTTTTTAGTGTTCTATTTTCTCTCTTCTTCAGGAAAAAAGAATAATAAAAAAAAAAACTAAAAAAAAAATACATATTTAAAAATTATACTTAATATCCAAAAAATATTTTACAACAAGAATAAAAAAATTCTTCAGCTACTTTGTTGTCATAAAGATTTCTACCAAAACATTTCACCAATTACAATATAAGAGCCCCCAATCAAATAACTAAACGATAATTTATGTTTTTTTTAGAGAAATTAGTTTTTAAGTAATTAAGTGTGAATCATATTTTTCCGTACTTTGTACACTAGAAATTAGGTTAGAGGGTAAAAGGAAATAACAATTTTAATTTATTAATTGCACCCTGAAAAAGAAAAAACAATAAAGAAAAGAATGTTGTTGTTAGTGACGGAGCCAGGAATTCGAAACATAGTGGACTTAACATTAACGGGGTTCAGGGGAAGCGCCCCCGATTTTTTTTATTTATTCATTAACATAAAATAGCATAAAATAACTTCAAATTATAAACTTCAACTAATATAACATAACTTCTTTGGTAGATTAGTTAAACTAAATTACTTGGGTGGGCTAAATTAAACTATTTGGGTGGGCTAATTATATATTGATATAAGTATAGTATATTTTTTTTATAAAATGAGAGTGGGCTGGAGCCCACCCTTGCCAAAGGAGGGCTCCGCCACTGGTTAGACACGGCGATGGGCCGGTTTGGGCCGGTTCACTCCGGTTCGGGCCGGTTCACTCCGGTTCGCGGCCGTTCACTTTTTCCGGAACCGGAACCGGCCCGTACTACTTACGGTTCGGCCGGCCGGGTCGGCCCACCGGTTCACTCCGGTTCCGGGTCGGCCCGCCGGTTCACTCCGGTTCCGGGTCGGCCCGAAAATCTATATTTATATATATATTTTATATAAAAAAAATACTTAATGGATAAATAAATTAAAATAATTACTTTTAAATAGGAAAAAAACAAAAGGAAATAACTAGAAGGACTTTTAACTTAATTTTATAGGAAAAAATGGGGTGTGAGGGTATTTATAAAAAAAAATGGGGGTAAAAAATTCAAAAAATAGCAAATCCGGGTTTTTGAATTTAACTTATTTTTAACTTTTTTTTTTTGAATGTTTTTGAATTTAAAAAAAAAAAAAAAAAAAATC